TATTGATGGGTATGAATAATTACCCGATAATAATCATTATTGTTCTGACATCTGCAAATTCGTACCTATATAAATTCGTTTGAAACATAAAATATATCCACTATTATAACAACTTAATCATGTAGTTTTTCGTCACACGTTATTCATTGAAGTATGTAATATTATTCGTCCGTTTTAATTTTTTAATTATTATATAATGTGTTCAATATTTCCTTTTTTTTTAGGTAACGAAGAACTAGATGATAAATGTATATACGTACATAATTTTTTTGTAAATCATTTTTAATTGTTGATTTCAATACCTACTTTTTTAATAAAAACATGTCTAAAGAACATTTTTTTGGAATTTTTATTGCAAATTATTGTATATTTTTAATTTTTTAGTGCATATTTTTCCTGTTTTTGGTGCATAAATGCATGCATATTTAACAATTTTTCAGTGCATTAAATGTACAACCCTGATAATAATAATGATGATATAGAATTTGGCGCTCATTCACCATCTTCATCATTACTATACAGTATTAAAAATTTGTTAAATGAAATATTTATACGATAAATAACAGTATACGTTCTGGATTTTTAGATGAATTGTTTCGATTAAAGTCGTACTGTTGTTAATAATATTAATTATATGTAAAGACTACTCAGTGTTATTAAATACCGTGTTCAATGTGTGACGTTACCCTACGTCAATCGATTTATGATCATATAACATATTAATTATGAAGTCAATAAACTTCCTCAGTCATTCTTATTCACGCATTGACAAACAAAGCCTGATTTTCTTTTTATATTTCAGAGAAAGTATATTATTAGTATATTAATATCATGCACAAATAACAATAAAAATTATCATACATACTTTATATAATCTTATTATTTTTAGTTACTTATTGTCATGGTACAGTAAATTATACTTGTACACATTATAAAAATTAAAGTTCATGGTACCTAAAAACGAATGAGATGTTTGAGAAATTTGTATTGATCGATCAAAACAATTCTAAGATAATTTTTAACTAATACTGTTGTTTTTTTACTATTTATATGGGGATATTTATATATATACTATTATACTATTTATAAATAATTTATATTTATATTTTACTATTAATATTTATATATATATATAAATAAATTTATTTATTTACATAGGGAAAAACGAAATGCGTAATTAAATGAAAATATTTTTCCAATCAATTTTCTAAAGAAAGAATTTTGCAGTTTCAATATTTTCTATAAACTGATTGCTATAAAACATAAAATTAAATTAAATCAGTAAAACTGATTATATTTGATTATATTTTTACACTGTGAGTTATGTATTTTGCAAATACAAAATTTTAATGAAAAATTAATGGTTTAAAATGTATTGGTCAAGGATTCAAGTATTCGTATGTATTAACTTATTAATAAATTGTCTAGAAAGTAATGAAAACCTCGATAGGTAAGAGGATCATTATGACACGCATCAATTAAAGATCAGTTTAATATACTCGTACGTATATACTGTTCGTATGATGTAATACTTTGTCAGTATAGACATATATAGACATATATAGACATTTACTAATATTCATATTTAGTATAGTTAATATCACATATTAAATCGTTTATAGGTATTTTATATTTTAGTTTTTAGGGAGCTATTACTGTGTAAGATATTAAAATTTAAAAAAGTTCTTAACTCGCTTCAAAAATAAAATTTCTTAAAATACTTGACACCGCAGAGATAATGCTCTTTCCTTTAAGTTTGATAATAGGTAAGTTCATTCAAATATTTATGCTAACTACATAAAAATGGTTTTAATAAACGCAGATTTGTTGTGTTATACGTTTTATACTACGAAGACAACATATACGGGTGTGGTGTAACTTATTTTACTTTGCGTAATAATTGTAGACTCGTCACCGGTATTATTTCTGAGGAACGAAGCGATGAAGGACAAACAGTCGGTTTTAATATATTACCAGTTTATTTTTTTTTTTATAATTTAAACTGTATAAAAAAACTAAACATTTATTTTCACTTAATAATATGGAATACTCTATAATTTTAAACTATTATAAGATGTATAGAAAATATCGCATTAAGTATCAAGTATCTATTTATGCCTAATAGTTAAGAACTACACCGATAAGTTTACGACTTCCATAGTGGTACCTAAAATAATAATATACTATTGATTATGAAAATCAAGTTGTTTGACAGGTACCTCCAAATGAAGAAATATTTAGAGGCTTAGTCTCACTGTTACCATTTTACTTCTCTAATATTATTAATAGTATTAACAAATGTTTTATTAATCTTTACTACTAAACATAGTGTATAAAACACTGATTGCATTGTTTATACCAGATTTTATGAAATAATATTAACTCATGCTATATATTATGATATGTAGAGGACAGATTTTTATGATTTTACATATTTGTTTCTAGTCTAGGCAGTTAAATGGGAGTGAGATATATTTACGAATCATGAAACGCAAAATTCAAAGAAAAAAATTTATTTTGCATAAAAAATCATATTTCAGGGGTTAGGGAATATTCAATACGTTAGAGAATATTTTTTATTTTTGAAGGTTATATTTTTGTAAATATTCGAAGAAAATTAATAATTATATTATCTATTATTTGACTGCACATCCATGCACGTATTACGTACATCGGCATATTGATAATATCGATCAACAAATACAGTATTCATTGTGGGAGTTTTTTTTTTATATCCTTCTAGATTGTAATAAAAATGAATCACTTGGTATTAGGGGTAATCCACGTACGGTTGAAATTGGCATTAAATCCTATTTTTTTTGAAGATCTTTATTGTTAATCAAAATAATAAAAACCATTTAATAAATGATAAATTCAAATAATTTTTTTTATTTTACATAATATTGAAAGATTGAAAGAATATTTGTATTTATAATGACATATAACATCATATAATAATATATTTATTTGGTATTTTTAATGAATATTTAGTGAATATATTGCCTTTTTTAAACGGCATAAAAACAGTGCTCGACTTGCGGGGGGACGCAGGGGGACAGAGTATCCCAACTAATTTTCAGACATTTTAGCGTCTCCCTATTATTATTATGTTACAATCATAACGCTTAACAAGTTTTCAGGACACTCTTTCTTTTTTTAAGTAAACAGTGTCCCCCTTTATTAATTTTGCCAAGTCGAGCACTGCATAAAAATATCATATTTTTACGATTTTAAGAGAATACAAATCTGACCTCTAATGATATGTATGTGTGTCCCTAGAATGAGTGTATTTTTGAAGCCCAAGTTGTACGCGAAATTTTTTTATGCAATGTTTAAGACAAATATGCTGACAAAAATGTTCAGAGTCTGATTAGCAAATTAATTTATGGATACCATAATAAAGCTTGTACCATAAAAAAACCAACGAATAAATCTTTCTCTCACTTATATATCCTTCGATGGTTCATATTGTATATTTTTAATGATTTATGTTGTATATTAAACCATAACATATTATTTTAGTATGATTGGAATTAATCTTAAGCCCATGGCCTGGATAATATTATTCAGGACGCGGTTTTTGATTTCACAATTTTGTCCAGTTGAGCCAGTTCTGCGAAAAGAGGACAAATGCCTAAAATTAAAATTATGAAATTTCAATCTTATATAAAAAAAAAAAAATTCCACCGGGATCGTATGAATAATTAAAGTTAAATAATAACATAATTACTTGAATAGTATCCATAATCTATACACAAATTCATACTTAAATATAATTTATTAAATACTTGGTGCGGAATATTGTAAATTGCATAGTTAAATAATTATTTTATTCTTCCTCTAAATATGTGTAATAACAAAACTATTGTAGACCTCATACATAATATACGTAGAAATATTAACAGTATCTTTACACAGCACTTAAAAGTGGTAAAAACTGCAGGGGAGGCTATGGCTATGGCTCCATACCATTTTGACCGTTCCATGTTAGTTCAGCTTCTATCTATACAGTAACTAATTAGTAACATACAAACAAATATTATTAAATAATAATTACACATTTATAAATAATTGATTAAATAATTAATTTTTAATTCAGACTATTAATTTAACGAAATAATAAACTTAATAGAAACTCACTGAAACAACGAATTTTTTGGAGAAATGTTTTTTAAGCCCTGTAAAAGGTAAGGAGACTCGATGTACTTGCACCTTCTTCACATTAAATCATGTCTTAAAATTTTAGTTTTAATGGTGAAAATATCTATTTGCAAAAAAAAAACCTCAGCTAAAAAATCATTTATATTGTACATAGCAATCAATTACGTTTAGTATATTACATGAAATTAAATTTTTAATCAGAACTCAAACAATATAACAAGTGTCCTCACATAGTGCAATATTTTCTACTTTTCTTTAACATCAATAACTGTAGAATCTGTAAACGATTTTTTTACAATAAAAATATGTGCTAAGATAAAATGACAATAAGTGAAAATAAGTGGTCCAGCGGTTACACTTCATATTTGACTTTACAATTAATTATATTTTATCGTTCGATCATTATTGTGTGGTCCAGTTTAAGCAAATATATTATAGTTTAATGCGATTTGTTGTACGATTTTAAACTACGTCCGTTTACATATCGTACAGATCGTAAAATCGGAGAGCAAGTGACAAGCTCGCGTACCCCTAGGATAGACACACGCGAACATGAATAATATATGCATCGTGGTTCGAACATCACTGTAAATAAGTATCTAAGTGAATTGTATGGACCAAGGACGGCGAGAAAATACGAAATAATATCGATGATATTGGTGTGCGGACCATTAAAGGGGAATAACTGTGAGAAGAATTACCATTTGTTCGGTTGCCGACCACTTGCCTTCATATTGCATTCGACTTAGCACGGTTCTCGTTCACATTTTACTTTACCGTTTACCATTATCATAACAGATTTAATAGTCCACAGTTGAAATTAAAAAAAAAAAAAAAAAATGACGGTCAGATTCGTTGTGACGTGTTTGTTTTTGATATGTAATGTCGGGAAAAACATCGAATCCGCTAAACTACAAGCTTTACCATTACGTGAGTACCGATCTTTTATCTGCACTTATATGATAAAAAATACTACTGGGTTAACACATTCGCCTACCTTTACAACTATCTTTACGCGTATGTATTAAAATATTATTAGATTCGATTTTATTATGAGAAAATTATCATACCTATACACAACAAATTATTCTTGAGAATTTATTTCATAAGTTTACATTTGTTTTAAAAGCCCTAATACAACATAAAGTTATAACTTAAATTAATTTACAACTATAAAATCTCAAAATTTGAAAGACAAGATCATATATACATCGTTTTTGTCAAATATTACGTAGTTACTATAAAATAAAATAAATTAAAAATACATTTTATGTGCTTTCAACTCGGAGATATGAAATTTATTTTTATTTGAAACCATAACATGTAACACCCTACGAATTTTATGACTTTTAGGTAAATAACATGTACTGGAACAAAAAATCATTTCTTTGTTCTTGACATAATTAGTTTCACGAGTTTAGAAAAGTTTTATTTTAAAATATGATTATTGTTTAATGTAGGTATAGTTTGTACATACGTAGTACCTACTTACATGATCATAATAATTTCTTGTAGACCTGTAGAAATCATTATATTTAGATTTCTTCTTTTCTTTTAGTTCACAACACTAATATAAATTGTATATACAGTCATATGGGTACATGATACCTTACACTTAATAGATTATTATATAAGCCGAATGCATCCACATACAATACATCTAATTAGTAATTAGTTAGTTTAGAATTTTTTTTATTTTCAAACAAAATTATATACATACTGTGATAACGAAAATAAACATGTGTGATAATAGTTTATGTTTTTAATATCTACCTGGCTATTGGATAGAGTTGTTATACTTATGCACACCATATATATTGTATACACATTATGAACTACGGTTTTTAATGTTTTTACATTTCTTTGGCGATAACTTTAACGACAGGACGCAGTTGTAGATTATGTTTTGATTTAATGTTACCTTCTTATTACCGTATTGATTTTTCTTATAAATTTATAATATTAAATTACATTACTACGTCTTATTCTTACATTTACTATGTATGCCATAGTATGTATGCCATTTTTTCTAGAGAAAAGTCCAATATAGATATATTAGTCATATAAAATATACATAATTTATTTATATGATCTATTTATCCGTAATTACTTACTACATATTTAATCATGCGTACAAAGTTATCGGAGTATAAAATTATGAAATCTTAAATCAAATATGCCAATGGGGTTATAAAAATAAACGGGAAAATGTCCTTCGTGAGTACCTATACTAATCATCAAGCTGCACAATATTGCATAGGAATTAATTTAAAATCAGCTGAGCTATAATTGATTTTAAATGAATAAATATTTCACAGTTTAACAGTTATTTAACAGTTCATTTACAAAAAAATGTACTGACATTGACATATATTGACATATGCTCGGTTCAAGGAGGTTAGGTTATTTGTTAATATTACTATATCCAAGGTCATAATCTGTTGTTATTTGTGTTCGATTTTATTAGGTTATAAGTAGAATTCAATTATAGTACCGATTTTAATGCTAATCTATAGTTCACGAGATAATTATGAATATTAAGTTATATTACTTTGACATAATTCGATATTTGTCACTATGCAAGGTTGTAATGTTCAACATGTATGTTGTGATTTTCAGCGTCTTACATTGGAAAGGGCTGTCTGAGGGACGACCCTAACTTGAACGAATGTATCGTGCGTAAAGGAGCTCCCGTAATCGATATAATAGTTAAAGGTGACCCAAAGTATAGGATACCAAAGTTGGACCCTCTGGTCATACCGGCATTGACGATTCAACAAGGCACGAAACAAGTGGGACTGATGATGACTTGCAAGAATTGCGAGTTACACGGACTGAAAGACACACGATTTGTTAAAGCCAGGTATATAAATCGATGATATTTTTATTTATTTATTAAATATTTGTGAATTTTATTTTATATTAATTAAAAATAATGACAAAAATTAATCAACAATGAAAATGCATATGTACGAGGTCTGGAAATTAAATAATGTGACTATTTGACAAATAAATTATTTAATTTTAAATATTAATGTACATCAATATGATCCTCTACAAAAAATTCCCCTTAGACAGCTAAAAACTTCAGCGCTTTTTCCGGTCTTCAAAACTTTTCTGGAATATTTCTTCTGACAGCCTGCGGAGCATCCGTGTTACGGACATTTGAATATCAGTTAATTACTCAAAATGCGTTTAATTCACGGCTTGTTTGACCCAAGGAAACTTTCACTTGTAAACATATCAGGAGAATACAGGCCCTGTGGCAATATTGGGATGTTTTTAAAAGTCAACAATTGTGTCACACTAAAGACTTGACGATTGTCGCGTTGTCATAGTAAAGAATCCATGAGCTTGGGATGTTTGGATGGATGACCTTTTTTTCTTCCCAAATGTTAATGTTCAGTTCATCTGACACCTTCGAATAAGTAGCTGCCGATCTTGACGCACAAAAGCTTGAACACGCTAAGCGTTGTAGCGTTTGCGGACTTAAAGAATACAATGTAAAAAAAAACCAATGATCGTGCAGTAATGCCAAATACTTATATTAATAGATTAATATTCAGTGATTAACGTACCTAATTTTCAGTTTCGTAAGGTTACCATATTGACGGTAAAAAAATCAGTCTCAATACTTAATTGTCACACCTCGTACAAGTATATATTCGTTAATTATATAGAAAATGTAGTGACGTCTAGCCTTATGAAAACACAAAACGCATTTATTTGCCGTTCTCAAAAAAAGCAAATTTATATTTATATTTTATTTTTATACCGACAAACGTAATGGTCTTGAAATTAAATACTTTTTAGCTGTACCTACCAATTTCAAAAATTTAAATCATTTTATAACCCTAGTTGTAAAATCAATATATTTATTGATATTTAAAGTAAATTATTTAAATTTCAAATATTTCAATTGTTTTTATATGTCTTTAATTTTTTATTATTAATTTTATTAACTGTTTAAAGAAGATGCATAAATGCTATTACCTTAAAAATGAGAAATTTCACACATTCATTACGAGACATTTTCCTCAGTTTCAGCCAGCTCCTGTAACCAAAAATTACACGTACGCCATATAATACATTTAAATTAATCTATTTTACGACTACAATTAAATATACTTTATAAATTTTTTTAAGATAAACAGATTAAAATCACTGTACTTGTTCTCGAGTAATTTAATTATAATATTTTTTGCACACACGCTGTAGAGTGGATGAAAAAAAAAGACACGTAGAATGGGATTTTGAACTCGACAAGTGCACATTTTTGGGGCAGTATGAAATCGAAGGACAAGTTCTGATACTGCCCATCAAAGGCGAAGGAGACGCCAACATCACAGTTAGTAAGTACCTATCGTTAATGTTCATCTTACAGTAGAGTTAACTGATTTAGTATGCTACTGTATTGGACTAAAATTAATTACATTTTATACAGATGGAATTACGTTCACATATTTCTACGATTATGAACTGATTAAAAGAGCAAATCAAAAAGATTACGTAGAGATCACCAACAGCAAATTGAAGTTCAACGCTAATGGAATGAAATTGAAATTAGACAACTTGTTCAATGGAGACAAACTTTTGGGTAAGTGTGCACATATATTATTGGAATTAAGTGGTTATTTATATCAATATAAAGACGTTGGATCGGAAATATTTATTACTACTTCTGTACTTATAGTACAGGATAATAATTGTCTTGGCTAAAGATTTATTCTCATTGCTCCGTTACGTGTTCGAACCGTATCGAAGAAATATTGTTCTAGAAATCTAAGTTAGGTTAGGGGTTATATCAAACGTATTGTACTAACTGGCTACTGCGTAATGAAGTTCGATGACAGTAGATTATGACTAAAGCGCCGGTTTATTTGCATTAAAAATCAACAAAATATGCATGAAAAATAAATATTTAGTTTTTGAACATTTAATTAAAGTAATAAATAAAAAATTCATTAAAAATCAATCAAAATGATGGAATGATTTTTTTACCTTGTCGAGTGAACAAATTTTTATATTTTGAAAATTACTTTTCTATGTCTACAGAAATAATAAGTGCGTATTTAAAAAATAACATATCATTTGGAGATAAATCTACGCTGGTTTGAATTGATTCACTTTCGTCATTTAATTTTTTTAATATTTTATTAAGAGTGTCGTAGCCTTTGTTTATTGATAATACTTTTCTACATTTTCTATTAAAAGATTTACCCCTTATATTACAATGCCTAGAAAATATTATGTTTAAAAATAAAAAAAACAATTCGAAATATACAAAATATTCACTTAAAAAGCTTAATCATTTAAATCGTTCTACCGTGGAACAAATATTGTGCTAACTACACAGCATATGATCAACCAAAATAAATATTAAAAAATTAAATTAAAAAATTATAAATTAAAAATGCTCACGTTATAATCATGACTAAAGTATCGTTGGTTTCCTCCAGTGACTCTGTATAAAACCCTGATTATTTTTCATTATAGTTTGAACATAAATATGTCAAATATTGTTACCAAATCGATCCAGGCTGTTCTATAATTAGAGTAGTTGAAAAATAATATTATTTTATTTACATAATTATATGTATATGTGTTTATGACGAAATCTAAATATAAGATGATAACCTTGTATAACGTTTAACCAACTTTTAATTATAATTATAATATAGCTGCAAGAGAGAAAAATAATATAGAAATCTTTTATAGATTACATACGTACACATATAACATAATTGTATGCGTTTACTTATTTTTATACTTGAATAACAAAAAATGTATAAAATCCTATTTACTTGTGTAGTTTGGCTTATCCTACCTATCAAAACTTATCAGTTTACCACATTCACAGTCGCAAACTGTCAGGAATTTTGTCAGGGGATGCGTTGTGCATAGTGTATACGCTAATTTCTAAATAATACTTAAGTTATTTTAGATTTTTTTTTAACGATTACAAATTAAAGATGTATGCTAGAACATTCGATAATGATAATAGTAATTAGCTCTAACCTAAATATTAAAATTTATTTTTTTCAAAATTCAAGGTTTGCAAGTGTACCCCCCTCTTAGTAACCATGACCCCGTTCGTATTTCCGTTCTGACGCAACCGGGCCGATGATTTTTGCGGAAGGATGATTTCGTTTACATCGTGTATGTACTTCACTAAAAATCGTGAATTCTTTGAAAATCGTTATTCTTTTGAACACCTTATATATTTAACGATCCTTCCATTGGTACAACCGTACCGGACGACGAAATGAAATGCTAACACGCACAAGACAATCGATTGTTACCGATCGGTGTGTAAATGTATCGACCGAACGAATGTTTTATTCCTGCGGCCCGGGCGTAGGCACCTCTAGCACCCTCAGCTCACATGTATTAGATGTACGGCGGATCATCGTAAAACACGTCCGCGGGCGGACCGCATGCAAAATTGTAGAATACACGGGGTCGGATTTAACCTCGACATTTACCGTTACAGGGGATAACATGAACCTTTTCTTGAACGAAAACTGGAGAGATCTACTCAAAGAGTTCGGACCGGCCATCGGCGACGCGTTCGGTACGATCATGAAGAACACGTTGGGATCGGTGTCCGACTTGGTGCCGTACGAATACATTTTTCCGACCAGTTAACGTGGTTACTCCCGCTGACACTTGCACGTTTCCCCCGATGTACATAGTTGTTGTTTTTTTATCATATTATCAACACAACATTTCTGTAACTGTACGCATGTGTATAGTTAACGATTGTGTCGACGTGTAACCGGCAGCGAGTGCTCGAAATCAGGTATCGAACAACAATCAGTTTTAACGCGTTTCGGAATAACATTGGTTTACATTTACTTAGAGCCGCGGTCACACTACGATAGTAAAACGCAATAGAGTTTTTTTTTTCGCGACAACTGTTATCGTTGTAGTGTGTAGGTACAACACTCACCTCAGTACAACAGTAGGTAACTACAGTTGATAGAAAAAATCGTAACAGTAAAGTAACTACCTATCGGGTTATATTCTGTACATCAGTGATTATCAAAATTTTTCATTCTTGGGCTCATTTTCAGTATTTCTTCGGGTAGCCTCAAGAAATATTTAAGCTTAAGTTATATCTATCTGCTGTGTTCCATTCAGAATGATATGTACATAGGAGGAAAATCAAAATTAGACGGTGTATATTTAATATTATATTTTTGCTATCGTGATTTTAATATTTTTGGTGCGATTGGCGAATCATACTTGATTTGACGGAGTGTTGTTAAAATATATTATACGCATACGAGTATATGATATGCATAGGCGTGCGCAGACTTTGTCCGCAGGGGGGGGTCCCTTAAAAAAGTGAACCAAAGATTCTTGTACTAAAGATAAAGACTACTAGTATAATTAAATATTTTAAATTTTATAAATTATTTATTTAATTCAATATACAAATATAAAAATAAATACTATTTAAACTTACACAATTTATATTTAAGAAATCCTTATTTACATATTATTATACTATTTACAACTCCATCCTTTTGTCCACGGGGGTAAGGTTTTTGAATGTATCAATTACATCTTCAATTTTTATATTATATGCAAGTTCTGATTAGTCTGATTAATAACTAATAACTTTATTACATTTATTCACAGATATCAATTCTATACTATAAGATTAAAACGGGCTTCATTTTATTCATGTAAAATGTAAAAATATTTGCTATCTTGTATAGTATAGATATACATTAATTAAAGAAAAAGCCAGAGTTCGCAGGGGGGGCCGCGGCCCACCCGGCCACCCCCGTGCGCACGCCTATGATGTTATGCTCGTTGTTTTAAATAATAATCAAAAATTGTATTATTCAATTTATATGGTGAAACGAGTGGAGCCTGAAGGGGTCTGCGAACCACAGTTCGAAATGATTTCGATTCATTAATCACAGGGAACCGATGTTATAGTATAATATATAATATCGCTTAACTCTAATCGTATGATCTTAACTTTCACACTGTCATTTGTTATTTTTTGTCATCATTTTTATATTTTAAATTTTATTATTTTGAATTCTGAATGTAGGCAATCTGTTTAAGACATATAAAACCACATTTATTTACATAATATGGAGCTAACATACATTTTTGTGGTAATTGTAAACAAGATAAATTCAACGAAGTTCGTATAATCTTATAGTAACAAGCAATTCTTTTGCGATTACTTGTATAATAGCAATCTTAACTTGTTAAGATGACATTTTAAATAAATAAAAATAAATAAAAAAGCTTCAGCAATATAATTTTATTTTCATTCAAAAAACATATACAATAGGTAAAATAATATGGTAGTATATAGAAGAGCAATATAATATTATATGATAGTAAAGAAAAATCATACCATCATAGGGCACCATAACGATAGTGACAGTACACTTATGTGATAGCGTCAATAGTAAGCAACATCACGTTTTACTATCAACATGTGACCGTAGTTTAATAGTTCCTTACATTATTTACTTAGTAAAAATATTACGTATATAAGTATTACGTATAAGTTTTATCGTACATATATCATTGTATTTAATATAATAATTTTTATCAAACATTTATAATTTTTGTTTTATTTTAATTTTAATTAAAGGTTTTCATTATAATAACTCTAAGCATGAATAAGTATTGTATTTAGTTATAAGTTTACGTTTAATGTAATGTGATTTATGAACAACTATGAAAATATATAATGCAAATTATGTTCTATTGTATGACTAACAGTGATTTTGTTGTACATTTAAGCAGTTAATAAATAGCCAAATATTTAATTATATATTACAAAGGTCTTTAGAAACATCCAAAATATATATTTAAATAAAAAATATATAATATGCATTCTGTTCATGTTCAATTCAAAATTAAACAATTTTCCAATCGTAATCAAAATTGATTTTTGATCATAACGATAGAATTTAGTAAATAATAACATCCATTGGATGACGTCAGTAATTATGTTAACTAGTATGACATTTTGATCACTGAAATTAAGAGCTAACAGTTGTATGATCAAAATATTTAGAATTGCTTTTAGTTAAATTAAATAATATCAAAGTGAAAAACAACACCAATCTTTTAAGCAAGGGCGTATTTGAGGGGGGAAAGGAGCATTCGCCCCCATGGCTCGTATTTTTTTTGATTATAATACATTGATTTATTAAAAAAAATGTAATGTATAAATAATTAAAAATTATAATTAGATCACGGGTATCAATTTTTGTTTATCTTCTTATATCATAACATTTTTGGTTGTGGAACGAATATTATCTTCCACGGATATTGCTACGGTTATAGAAATTTACAACTATAACCGAGGTATTTATCAGATAATATAAAGTAATTTAAATTAACACTTTTTTTCACCACATATTTACTAGTTAGTCATTTTTTGGTGCATTTATGTATATTGTATATTTTTGAATTTTTTAGAGAGCTATATAAGTCTTTAATAATTTTACTCACCTATTTTTTTTTTTTACAACATAATATCTAGTACTTTTTGTTGTGCATAAGTATTTAGTCATTTTTTTGTGCACTAATGCATGCATATTTGTGTATTTTATAGAGCTAAAAGCCCCTAAGCCAAATAATAATCATAATAACTGACAATATTTGTTTCCATATTCTTTAACTTGCAAATATTGGCCAAATATATATTTTTGTATATTGAAAACGTGGTTAAGATCAAGAATAGGCCAGTATAGACTAACAGGTTTGGCTTTGCTGCATGTGCATAAAGATGTTATTGTATCCGTTGATGAAATAATCAACAAATTTGCCAAAATGAAAAAAAGAAATTTGGAATTTGTTATTTGATCTTTACCAACCCTATGTTTTCTACTTAAATATTTGTTAAATTAAGTTACCTATCTTAATTGTTTTTTAAAATTTTTAAAAAATAATTAATAGGTACTACTACTACTATGATTATTTGTTGTTTTTCTTATACAGGATTCAGACTGAAAGTACAATTTTAATATAGGAACTATTTATGTTGTTATTATTAATACTTATTTTATACGCAGTAGGTTTTAAATATATTTATTAAATAAATATTTAATTCAATTTGGTACTTGTATATTTATTTATTCACTCGAATGAGCAACAGGAAAATGAGCTGTAGGTAATGAACTGTAAATTATTTCTAATTTTGTATTGAAGAAAAATTAGTTTCGCCCCCCCCCCCCCCCCTCCTGATCTCAACTCAAATATACCCTTACTATGGCTTCGTACATCAAATGTTGACAGGGAAATAGAAAGTTTTTTTTAAAATAACATAATTATATTTATCATTAATTATCAACTCATCAGCGGGAGTATTTATGTGGCATCTTGGTTCGTCACTGAACACGGATAGTATTTTGATCGAGTCTATGTTTATTCTTCAAGTTAATGTAGTAAACTCAAAATACAGGTAGTATACATAATTAATACATTATTTCATTATACTAAAATATATAATTAGCATATGTGCAATGGGATATATATGGAACATATTATTAATATAATTCACTGCATTACGCTAATGATAAGATGGGTATAAATACGGGTGGATCAGCTGGTATCAATTACTGATTGACTAGTTTTGATTGTCAATAATTTAATCAACTACCATGCGTTTATTCAAACGGACGATATTAATTATTTAATATTTTTCAAAGTATCTATTGAACTTTTAAACCTGATGAGCTATACCGACTAGTTTTTGCTATCGACAGTTATAGATAAAAATTGAGTCTATTGATATTATCGTGTATTATTTTATGCATGAATAGAAACGTCTTAAAAAACAAATAATCAGAGAAAAACAAAAATGTAGCTCAGAGGAGAAAAATAAAATTGGAGGCAATTATTAGCCATGGGAAGATTTACTGCTGCATCTTTCATAATAATAATTAATACTGTAAAAATCTAGGTACAAAATGTCACTAATCATTTGTAAGCAAAAAATAATTGATTTGGTCAAATATACCTGAAATGAGTTGGAAAAAAATAGTTTATTAAAAACAATCGAATAGTTCAATAGTTTTCACTAGATAGTGTTCATAAATTGTACTAATTAAAAGGAGATTTTCTAGTCGTACACAGGGGCGGCATTTCAACTTTTGAAAGAGTGGGGTAACTAATTAAATTTTCCGACTTCATAATATAAAAAATTATGATTATCTATATAGATAAATATTTAATATTTATGGACCATAGACTATCAATAAAATATTTTTTCAAAACAAAACATGTATCTAACGTTTTAATCTACCCAATTAAATAATAACATTAAAGATAATAAAACATTAATTTATTTACTTATCCCATAGACTATAAGTTACCTATTAATAGGTTTAATAAAATAATAATATAAATCTAAATAAATACTTATAATTTTATTATTTGTATATTTAATACTTTACAGAACTTATTTATAAAAACATAAAATGTATCTTAAATATAATATAACGTAGTTTGGGATGAATAGGAACGATTTTAACAGTTTTTTTTATAGATTATGAGCTCAATTTTTATGGTATCGATATCACGAAAACTGTTTTATAAAGATCACATACATAGAAATATATAATACACCAAAAATAAAATTTATAAGGTTCACGTAATAACGATTGTCATAAACTGGGGAGGAGTCAGTGTTTCCCAACTTTGAATAAACCGTGAACGCGTATTTAAAAGATAATATTATCTGATTTCTGAGTACAAAATAGTAAATAAAAATTTACTATTTACCGATTTTAGCATTTGATTATCGGACAAAGAATTGCCGACTTTTAAAAATGTCTTATATTGGGGCATTTGCCATAGTCCCCCCCCCCCAAAATGACGCCCCTGGTCGTTCAACACGGCACACTTTATTCATGGCGATTCTTTCTACAGATTTTCTACCGACGTCAGTTTTTCTAACAAATATTGTTTTCCAATACAGTCAGCATAATTAGATTGTGATATATTTCCTATACATGCCTAACAATATTGACCAATACAACGAACTTGCTTTGTAGACCGTGATCGCACCACCATGATGGGCTTAAGTGTCTAGAGTAGAGCGAAGTCGGTCCACACACAGCAGCGATCATCCATTAATCAATACGTTGTCACATCATATGTAGATAGTAAGTCTAAGGCTCGGAACTATAAGCATTTGTATATTAGTTTAAAAAAATGCATATTTAAATTCTGGTTTGATACAAATCCGTTTTGTAGTACGTAGATTTCAAACACAAATATAATTTTGCATATTTCGTTATTTTTTGTAGGAATCCGCATAGTTTAGGTCTAAGAACTTTTATATGTAT